TCCCCCCCCCCCCCCCCCCACCGTAGCTCCCAGCTCAGGCCGTCACACCAGTGCCTTCTCTGGAAAGTTCTCTCTAGCCTCCTCACCTACTCATCCCTCCCCTGCTACATGAAGACCTTTCCTGTGCACATGAGCGCTCCTCCCGAGGAGAGGTCTAAACCTACCAGGCACTCCTCCGAACTCCAGGTCCTTCCGCGGTGGAGTGCTCACTTGGAAGGTTTCCAAAGGTGCAGGTCCTCTGCTAACAAGGTTTTGTTCCTTGGACTCAGTTTCTTTGACTTTGACCTCCTCTCTTCTTGCACGAAGGCTGTACTGTGTAGCTATATAACTGCCTTCTGGTGGCAAAATGACGCTTTCCTAGTTTAAAAAAAAAAAAAGTATTAAATATCTATCGTCTAGAAAACAAAGAAAAAGAGGGCAGCAGATTAAAGAGAGTGCTTCACTACCTGCGTGTTCTTCTGAGGTATGTCATTCCTCTCCGTGTGCTCAGGCTCCCCATTGTATCTACTGACGCTGTTTCCATATGGCTTCTAAACGGGATATGAAGCAATGTATCAAAACTGGACTGACCAGATGATCTCAAGGGTAACAAGTTACTACTGGAAATGAAGCAGAAACAAGCTAAAAACCAAGAGATAAAAGCAACTAGACCCGCCTGGTTTTCCAAGGTCAGCTCTTACAGCGCACTGTTTCGGTTTTTGATAAGAAGTCCCACTCTGTAACCAGCTAGCCTTAAATTCACTATGTAGCTTGGGCTGGTCTCAAACTTGTGGCAATCCTCCAGCCTCACCCTCCTGACTGAGCACTGGGATTACAGCTGTGCAACACTATGTTTTGCAACAGAGTTCTACATCAACTTTTCCATATTTCAAACACTCTCATACTAAATGTTTCAATAATTTCACTGTCAGATACTGTAACATTTCTATGAAAAGTGAGTAAGTAAAAAACTGGCAAATTCATTAGCTTGAAAAAAATGAGGAAAAAAACATTGAGTGACCCCAACAACCAACAATGGCAAGAGTGGGTATCTGAATTTCATGCTACCTGATGTTTACCCTTAATTTTTTCCTCCCTACATGTCCCTCCTGACTCATCCTCAGTTTCTTTCTGAAAAAAAAAAAAAAAAAAAAAATGATTTCACAAGAGCTTGTTAAGGCAACGGTTGCAAGAGTGCCTGGCTTCCTCTGAAAAGATTGACAACAAACTAACACAATACTGAGCCAAGAGGAAAACAAAAATCCAAGCCTACTCCTCAAAAGAGCAGCTGACAGATGACAGCATTCCCACAGCAGTGGGCTCCAGCTTTACGTCTTACTCGCCATACACCTGAGCCTACCAGGGTGTCAAGGAGCCACTGCTCAGGAAATGGATGACACGCCTAAAAGCCCCATGCAGCATCTCAGGTTTTGCATAATCTCTACTAACCACAGCTAAACAGGGCAACACAGCCATGTGTCTAAGTCATGCTGACTACATGCCAATGCTTTCCAATACATGAACAGATCTGTGATGACAAAGCACGGAACGCTTTGAGGTAAAGTGCTACGATCACAACCAGGTGTGGAAGAAGCAATCAAACATGATGTCCAAAGCTGAGGCAGCCTGGACAGGAACTTGTACACACACCATGCAGTAGGCTAATCCTCTATTGGAAAAAGACAAAGACAATCTGTAGCGCTCGTGACAACAGAAGAGCTGTGTAAAAATGCAAGCTGTAACAGGAAGCAGTTCTCTCCTTACAGAGTCACTGGTAGAAAGCCACTCAAAGAAACAACAAAACACAAAGTCAGAGTCAGAAAAGTGGAGGTGAAATCTTTGACAATGGCGGGTGAGGGAGCAGTTTATAATCCTCAGAAGGAAAATCAAACATCCAGTCTTGACACCGGCATCAACACTCTCTCCCTATCTGGCAATACATAGTACAGGCCTCTGTTCTGCACCACCCATCTGACCTAGCAGTCCAGCTTCCTGAGAACTAAGCCTAAGGAGAAAACCAGATGTTGCAAAGAGGAAGTGTTTGAACAGTGAAGACTGCCAGGCACAGGTGGGCATGCCTGTAATCAGGGAGCCAAGATGGATCTCTGAGAGTTCAAGGCCAGCCTAGTCTACAAAGCAAGTCCAGGACAGCCAAGGTTACACAGAGAAACCCTGTCTCGAAAAACCAAAAAAAAAAAAAAAAAAAAAAAAAAAAAAAAAAAAAAAAAAAAAAACAAAAAAAAAAAAAAAAAAAAAAAAAAAAAAAAAAAAAAAAAAAAAAAAGAAAAGAAGAAAAGAAAAACCCACTAGGCTGTATCATAGAACTAACAATACCATCTATATAATTTATGATATTTACTAAGTAACACAACAAAAAAGAAAAATAGTCATGGCAAGTTAAACATTTTAAAGGTTAACTGTAAGAGTACACACATATACAGTCTGGTTTTTAAGATTATTAAAAGTCTGTATGCCTTGTCTCCAGAAGAGATAACACTAAATGAGTGGACTACAAAAGTGTTCTTTTTACTTTAAACGCTTTGCTTATAGCATCCAAAACAGAGGCTTGCAACCTGTGGATCACAGCACTTTTGGCAAACCTCTACCTCCAGAAATACATTACAATTCATAAGAGTAGAAAAATTACAGTTATGACGCAGTAACAAAAATAATTTTATAGTCGGAGTCACCTCAACACGAGGAACTGTATTAAAGGGTTCTATATTAAACAGTGGTTGAGAACCACTGGTCAAAATATTCATTCCCCAAGTGTTGTAGCTCACCCTTATGAGCTCAGCACTGAACAAACTAAGGCAGGAGGATTGTATCAAGTTCATGGCCAGCCTAGGCTACCCTGTCTTTAAAAATAATAATAATATAAAAGCCTCATTGGCTAGGTCTCCAGGCTCCACACACTTTACATGCAGCATGGAAGTCATTCCACTGAAAACGCCAATTTTCAACAGTGAAAATGATCAGCATAAGGATGTCAATCAGAAGAGCTAGAATGCCTCACACAGTTGTCTCATCACTTCATGGCCTACAAGCTATGTCCGTGTCAACATTGTCTAAACACTAACAGCACTCCCACTAACCTTATTTGAAGCTGCTAGGGTAGCTCATCGGGTCGAAATGAGCCCTCAAGCTCAGTGACCTGAGTTCAACCCCACGAACTGACCTATGGGTGGAAGGAGAGAACTGACTCCACAAAACCATCCTCTAAGCTCCACATGTGGCCACACACCGTACATATGCACACATGCACTGAAAATAAAAAGGGCGTTTTCTTCAATACTCAAATGACCTATACTTCTTTGTCACACACTTGCTAACAGAAGTGCAAAGGAGCTGAATAAACAATTCTATACAGGAGAAGCCAGTGCAGCTGACAGACGGAACAAGTACCAGTACAAGTGGAGTCAGTTTAACTTGCAGAATCTCCCTCCTCATTTCCTTTTCCTTAATGTCAGGCTGGTGGGAAGCAGAGGCAGATCTTCTGGAACCTTTTGGTGCTCTGCCAGGAGATCGGGAGCGTGACCTCGAGCGGCTGCCACGGCGTCTTGAAGGAGAGCTGGAAGTTGAGCCACTTTTCCTTTGCTTAAAGGATTTTAAAGGCTAGAAAGGGAGAAGGCAACAGAGGTTATCAGAACACTAACATCCAGTGGCTAAGCTGGAGGAGGTTAGTAAGGGCCACAACCTGCTGCCGTCCATTCTAAGCATCACAGGGTCCGAGAACTGATCCCACGGGACCAATGGGAAATGCTGCAAGGATCCTGGTTCTTAGAAAAGAAACAGTGCTTTCTCTGCCCTGCTGGCCTGCGAGGCATGTCCCTGGAATCAGTGTGTGCCCCACTCGCTATACAGATTCCCAGCAACGTAAGAAAGACGTATAACTGATACTAAAACTGACATGGTAAGACAAAAAAACTGGCATGCAGCGGCCATGGTGTTGCACGCCTTTAATCCCAGTCAGAAGCAGGCGGATCTTTGTGAGTTCAAGGCCAGCCTGCTCTACAAATGAAGTCTAAGAAAATTAGCATGCAACCAATTTTTCAAAAAGTAAGCAGCCCTAGAGTTACTCTGAAAGCACTCATTCTTAAAAGCAAAAACAAAACAAAACAAAAAAACGACAATTAAATTCTTTGCCTCAGCTATACTCTGCCCTAATCCATAGCAAATCACTCCTTCCCTGTTTCTAGGGATAGACCTGAGCCAGGCAAACCCTTGGCCATCTGACCAGGTGCTGTTTTGTTTGAGGCCCTCAGCTCACGATGGCATTCCTAAATGACTGCTAACAGCATCAAAAGACAAGTCATATTCCACTTCACCTGGAGCTGACCCTAAGCTACAGCAACCCCACGAGCCATGGAGCCTAAAGAGTTGTATGGTGTGTGACCCAGACCATGCATGGGTCCAAGCTATTAGTTACTGATGTGTCCCAAGATCCAAAACCGCAAAGTTCTGAGCAGATGTTTGCAGAGCCTTCAGACTAAGTAATTTTATGCCAAGAGAATCTAAAAAACTCTGCAGCTTTAAGTGGTGGTGCATACCTTTGATCCCAGCCCTTAGGGAGGCAGAGGCAGGCAGATCGCTGTGAGTTCAAGGTCAGCGTGGTCTATAAAGCAGGACAGCCAAGGTTACACAGAGAAACCCTGATTTAAAACAAAAAGATAACCTTTTTCCTAGAAATTAATTTTATGTGTTTATGTAAGTATTTGTATACCTTAGGTCAGTATTTTAAAAATCCAGGCCCTCAACAGATAGGCTGGGAGGAGGAAGCTGTGCACTGGCCTCAAACCTAGTAAATGTCATTCTGATTACATCACAAGTGGAAAGGAAGAAACTCAAGCACTGCCAGGTAGCAGTAGTAGCACAAGCCTTTAATCCTGGCACTAGGGAGGCAGAGGCAGGCAGATCTGAGTTCAAAGCCACCCTGGTCTACAGAATGAGTTCTAGGGCTACATAGAAAAACCCTGTCCTTAAAAAAAAAAAGAAAGAAAGAAAGAAAAAGAGAAATAAACTCAAGCCTATTAACAAATCCCCAAGTCAGCCTCCTGTTGACCCCTCTGCTGTCCCCAGCCACCTACCTCTCTGGTATCTGACTGTGTCTGCGCCCTCCACAGGCCTTTGCTATGCTGCCCTCCCTACACTTTCCCATTTGTCCTAGCAGCAAACTCAGGGGGAAAAAAAAATCGCAAAAACCCAGGGTCCTTTCCTACCCTGTCCAATGGCACCCACAGCAAACACACCACAGGGTAACCAGATCCATTGATGTGAGCTTTTGGGAGCTGCACCCATTCGTCATTTACACATTCCCAGAGCCAAGAACATCATGAGCCCCAGAACCCCAAAGCAGGCGTCTGACGTGTGCTTCTGGTTCCTCCCACTTGCCGCACCCTAAGGTACACTCACCTTGATGTCACTCTCCTTCAGCTCCAGCTCGGTGCCGTCTTTGTACTTTACGGTGTAGAGCTGGGATTTGCTGTCATGGCTCAGAATTTCTACTTCATAATAAAGGGAGCTCCCAGGCCATCGACCTCTGACCACTTCACCCTCGGCAAACTTCCTACTTGGCATTTTCTAAAGTTAGTCTGAACAATTTTAAAGAAAAAATTCAGTCAGTATTTATTATTTTTTTGGACTAGGTTGTTCCGTAAAACACAACTTTCTTGATCTGTTAACTGGTTATGATTTCAGGGCCAGGAAGCCTCCAATGAAGGAGTGTACAACGGCTTATTTTACAGATGACAAAACTTGAGCTTAAAGTTAACACTTTGTCAAAGTTCAGAAACAGTATTTTGGGCTTCGTTTTATTTCATTTGAAGTCACTCTGTAGCAGATGACTTAGCACCGGGAAACATGGAAGTGGTGCTGAGGACTAGCTTCAACAACAAAACCACAGCAAACTGCTACCCACCTGCAGGAACCAAAACCAGGGCACCACTCAAAAAGAACACATTTTTACTTGTAGATCAGCATATCATCTTTCAAAAGCTTTAAAATGCATTTAATTGTATTTTTAACAAGCTACCTTACTGAGCAGTAATAAAACTATGAGACAAATTGGGAAAATAAAAAACATAGTTACCATTACTATAACCTACCAAGAGGAAGGATAGTGACATATTTGAGGCTTACTTCATAAAGTTTACATTCTCAAGAGTCAAATCCCAAGGGCTTACCAAGTAACTGCCAACCACCCCTCGGCCAACATATAGCTGGCCTTCATCCAAGTTCATCTCTCAAGCCCACAGCTGACACCTCCAACTGTAGCATTCTCTGCCACTGCTCTAAACATGGCCCATGAAACCTTGTACACGCTTAAGGAAACCATACTCGTCAATAGTTGCCATTTCTGTGAGGCAGTATCAGATGATGGCTGTGCTGCTAGCTCTCTTTCCCCCTGGCCAGTGCCCTGATGTCAGCCATAAGCAAGCAGCAGACAGACAGACTCTTCGGCTAAAGGTGTGGCCTGCTAAGCAAGTCTCCATACACCAAGCACATAAAGGAACACTCCTCACACACTCCTGCCAAGAGCTGGTTATGCAACCCAACAGCAATACTTAGGACTCCTGCAAATTGTGGAATTAAGGAGAAAGCTGCATCACCTACCCCTCCCAAAAAAGTCTTTCTAAATACATTTCTTCCCTGTTAATGGCGGGGGGGGGGGGGCTTCAGACAGCAGATGAAAGAAAATGCAGGTGCTTATCTCGTGATTAAAGGTACATTATAGAGCCTGCCTCAGTCTCCCTAACTTGTGAGATAACATCTCTGAGGTAATGAGTATGTTTGGACTTGGAAAAGGGAAAAGGGCCTGTAAGTTTTAGGAATGAAGCTGGACTGGCAGAACAGTACCTGAGGGGCCTTCGGGAAGCAGAAGGGCAAAGGCCCACTTCTGCATAAGGAAGGAAGGTGACCACAGCAAGCTTGGTCGATTTCGACACTTAGTTCCAAGCCTCCCTGGACAAAGAGGAAGGAAATGTGCTGGGCTTCCTTCTCTGGCACCCCTCTTCCTTCTCTGGCACCGCTCTTCCTTCCTCAGCCCCAATCCAACCTCTTACTAGCACTCTCCTACCCTGGTTATCCGAAGTTTGAAAAAGGCCACAGTGTTTTTCTATAGGAAGACGCCAGCCACTCCAGTCTCAGGCAACACTTCAGGAACCTCAAATATGAGCTGCTCAGGCCTTGGGGTCCACCTGCATCTCCAAAAGCCCTTCAACAGACTCATTCTCGACACTTTGAAGCATTCATTCATTGTCATTTTTCTCATCCAAGTACTACCTACACCCAATCCTGCTTAGCTTCTGAGACCAGATGAAATTCAGAAGATGAGGTTAGTATGGCCCTGGACTCACTGTTTTTTTCTCTATTGCATCTCTAAGACACCATTGTAACTACATCTGTGCAACAAGAAGAACACAAGTCAATACCAAAAAACTTCTATTATACTTTGGGATACATTAATTAAGGCACACATTAGTTATTTGAGCCTTAATTTTCCAAAAATTGCCTAAAATGTGCAACACCTTGAAATTTGATCCCCAGAAAAAGGGTAAGGTTCTTTCCCTAAGAACTGAGACTTGGAGCTGGAGAGACGGGTATGAGTTTAAGAGCACTGGCTGCTCTTCAGAGGTCCCGAGTTCTATTACCGGCTCACAACCATAAATAATGAGATCTGGTGCCCTCTGCTGGCCTGCAGGCATACACGCAGACAGAACACAATATACATAATGTATCTTTTTTTTGTGGTTTTATTTTTTTTTAATTTTTATTATTAGTTACATTTTATTAACTCTGTATCCCAGGTGTATCCCGCTCCCTCCTTCCCTCCCAACCTCACCCTCCCCATAAATCTTGAAGAGGAAAAAACAAAAAACTGAGACTTGGCTGGGAATGGGTGGCTTTAATCCCGGCATTCTGGAGTCAAGAGAGAGAGAGAGAGACAACTCTCTGTAAGCTGAAGGTCTACCTGGTGGTCTACAAAGTGTGTTCCAAGACGGCCAGGACTACCCAGAGATCTTGTCTCACAAAACAAAACAACCCAAGAAAATGAACTGAGACTTGATGGTGCTCTTTCGTACGGCACGTGGAGAAGCACCTGGCCTCAGGGGATAATAAAGGACCAGGCGGGTAATATGATGTGCGCGTCACTCGGCACAAGGTCCATACACAGCGAGTGAAAGCCGTGTAATAGCATCCCAGGATAGTGCTCGGCAGGAAAGAATCATGCCGGCCAACACAGGGGGCTCCAGACACTTTTTTGTGTGCTTATGCACAAAAGTAACAAGTCAAGATACGTAGACAGGCTTCTCTTAAAGGCGTGTTTCAGCCAGGGATGGTTGCAAAGAAAAGTTACTTAGTAAACACGGCACCCTCAAACCCTACGCGGCAGAAATGCAAGGATCCTCCGGCGTTTTTCTGTTAAGCCTGATTCTTGCCAACTTGGGCGGCATTTGGCACGGGTCGACTCCTCACCCGTTATCGATCTTTCTACTTCACAAACATCGCAAGGATCTTGAATTGATCCTCCACTTTCCCAAACTCAATGTAACGCGGTAGAAAAAGCTCAAACGATGCCTGACAGTTACCGTTTAGCACCAGAGCCTGTACCGGCCAGCTGGGAAAATGCAAAGAGGAACCCGCTCGCAAGGGGAGCCTGGCCCTACAGGCGGAGCGGCCTTAACACCCAGAGGCACACTGACCGGCACGGTCCTCTCGCCCGCACCCCCTTCCGCGGGCCACACTGACAAGCGGACATCGCCCTCTCGCCATCAGGTCCCCCATCCTGCGCCTCCCCGTCGCCCCATCTTCTTCCTCGGGGCAGCTGCCAGTCCGCAGCCCCAGATCCGCTCGTCCACGTGCAGCGGCCCTCGCACCGCAGGTGACCACCCGCGGGCAAGCCCGTCGCCGCCGCCGAAGCGCCCCGGGGCCGGCCCGTCCACCGCCGAGCGCGCGCCAAGTGGCCCCCGGAGCCGCAGGAGGCGCGAGGCTGGCTGTCACCCCGCGGAAGCCCTCACGAGGCCCGGGAAGGCCGGCCGGCCGGGCTCCGGCGGCGGTTAGCTCCTCCCCCCGGAGGCCGCCGGACCTCGG